CTTCTCTTCTCTTCCCTTCCCTTCCCTTTCCAACCCCTGCCATTTTGTGATTCGGTGATTCTGTGATAATTAAAGTGACATAACTAATAACTGACAGGTTTTTCTCTAAGATTTTATTATTAATTGAATTGGTCAGGAAGTTGGAGTTGGTAGAGTGTTTTAAGTCCCTTCCCTTCCCTTCCCTTCCCTTCCCTTCCCTTCCCTTCCCCTTCCCCTTCCCCTTCCCCTTCCTCTTCCTCTTCCTCTTCCTCTTCCTCTTCCTCTTCCTCTTCCTCTTCCTCTTCCTCTCCTGTTCCCTGCCTGCAGAGAGCCCTTCCTACTGCAGAAGCAGTGATGATGGAACGCCTGTTCCTAGAGGAACAAAAGGCCACCTTAGCACTCAACAGGCCATTGGCAGGGGAGAAACCAGGTGGGAGACCAATGATTTCTGTCCTTTGTCCACCTTTTGTAGCCCTCTGCTGCTTTCTTGAGGCTTGCCCCCTCTCCAGAGGCCAGGCAGGAGGTTTCCATCTCCTGTGATGCTCAGGGCAGTGTCAGCTTCTTCCCCTGGGGTCAGTGGGGATTTTCAGCTCCTGAAACAAATAGTGAGTGTGACCTGCTGCTGCTCTTCCCCACTCACTCCTCTCTGGTAGGAATCTTGATGGCCAAAGTCTTATTTCAGGCACAGCCTGTGCAGTGCTCAGGCTCCTGGAAAACTGGTGTTTTCCCTGCCAGCTCTGGAGATGCTTTATTAGAGGTTTGTGTTCAGTGGCTTCCCCTGAGTGACACAGTGAGGGGTGGGTTCTGTAAGAAGGGTAAAGTCTCCAAGAGAAGAGGGGAAAAAAAATACATCCCAGCACAAACAGGCAAAATTGCAACACCCTCCCCCCCAACTCTTTTGCAAGAATATTATTATAAGAAGAATACTTTTTAGTATTGAAAATAAATGAATGCATGGATAGTGTTTCATGCCTGACATGGTGCTTCTATTCCAGATGAGTCCACATCCTCATCCCCCTCCCAGAGCCTCTCGACTGGTCCCACTGGCCTGAAGCAGGAGGCAGGACTCCTCAGGGTGGTCCCCAACCCTGGGACCCCCGTGCACCAGCCCCCTGAGCAGGGCCCAGGCTCTGGACACACCAGGGAGGTGCTTCTGCCCCCAGCCAAGATTCAGAAGGCCAAGTCATTCTAGGAGGACGATGCTCCAAGCAGAGCAGCACAGCCACCCCATGGCCCCCACCCAGCCCAGCACAGGGTCCCAGGCTGGATGGCCCTTCCCCTGCCCAGCAAGGCTGGGGCTTGGCTTGTGCTGGTGTCTGTGTGTTGGGGTGTCTGGGTCTCCCTGTGTTTGTGTCTCTGTGACTCTGTGCAGGTGTTGTTTGTGTGTCTGTGTCTCTTTGTGTGTGTGTCTGTGTCTCTGTGTGTTTGTCTGTGTCTCTGTGTGTGTCTGTGTCTCTCTCTCTGTTGCTTGTGTCTCTGTGTCTCTTTGTGTGTTTGTGTCTCTGTGTGTGTGTTGTGTTTGTGTCTTTGTGTCTCTGTGTGTGTGTTGTGTTTGTGTCTCTGTGTGTGTGTTGTGTTTGTGTCTCTGTGTCTCCTGCTTTTCAAATACAGCTCCTTGAAGCATTTTGGTTTCTTCTGTTTTTGCAACAAGTGTCTTTTCCTAGAGGGCCCAAGGCAGAGGCTCTTTGGCAGAAAAGGAGAGCTGGCTTCCCAGCCCTTGCAGGTGAGCTCTGAGGTTCTCCCAAAGTCTGTGTGTAGTGAGGGAGGAACATCCTTGGCCCGTCACAACCCCAGTGGTGCCAGCCTGACCACAGTGGCATTTTTGAGGTGCAGCAGCTCTGCAGGCTGGTGGCAGCTCATCCATCCCAGCACGGGGCTGCTGCTTCCCCCAGGCCCCAGCTTCCAGTGGGAGCTGCTGGGTCCTGCCTGGTGCCTGCCTGGGTTTTGGCCACAGCAGGGGAGCAGGGAGCTCCTCCAGTTGTTGTGTCCAGTTCTGGGCTCCCCAGCTCCAGAGGGACAGGATCTGGGAGAGTACAACGGTGATTAAAGAGGGGGTTTATAAGATCAGGGAACCTATTAAGGGATTTTTTTTTTAATATTAGGCATCTATTGATTAAGGGTGAACATTGTCTGTTGATTAAGAGTTAACATTTTAAGATTAATATCATGTTAGAGAGCAGAACCTACTAATGTTAATGTTTAATAGAGATGTCCTGCAGGAGCAGGATGTGTTTGGTCCTGAAACAGGCTCCAGCTGAGGCTGTGCCTGTCCCTGCCTGCTTCATCCATCAGTATTCCACAGTGATGGGCTCAACTGGCCAGTGATGGACAAGGATACAGCCTAAGGTGGAAGCTGCACAGTAAGAGCGTGAGCCTTCCTCCAGGAGCCCCCTGCTCACAGCCCCCGAGGGGGAAGGGTTGTTGCTTTATGTTAATGACTTCAGGGAAATGATTTAAATATTATAATGGCTTTTTGGAACGAAGTTGTTCAAGCCTTCCTGCCTGTTTCCTTGTTAGGTCATGTGTAGGTGTGTTTTAAAGTAAATGAAGACGTGGTCTTTGCTGGGGGGTGTTTGGAGGAGCGACCCCTGCGCGCCCAGCGCTGCGACAAGGAGCTTCCTGGGGGTACAGAGTCTGTTGCTGCACTTCAGCAGAAGCCACGAGGATGAGGAAGGGGCTGGAGCACCTGCCTGATAAAGGCTGATAGACCTGGGGCTGCTCAGTCTGGAGAGGAGAAGACCGAGGGGGGATCTAATGAATGTCTCTCAATACATGAGGGCAGCAAGAAGGCAGGACAAGCTCTTGTCACTTGTGCCCTGGGACAG